CGAATATACATCCTCATTCATCCTGTATTTTTTTTTGTGAAATCTACGTCTTTTAGTCTCAAAACTACATGTTGTGGTCTTTCTTTTATGTATTATGTTATGACGTTTTGTGAAAAATCTGTAAGTGATCGAGAAAAATAGATATCATTTTCGGATTCAGCGTACAAGAATCACTGTAGAACATGTAAAAATTCTACGACAATAAAACCATCGCAGGCCTATGTAATTAGAGCAGTTTTTTAACCTAAACTGTAATAGAAACTCATCACTGAAGGTACTTGAATATACGTATATCACTATATATTATACTTGATAAATCAAGAAACCAAATAATCTAAATGATTTATAATGGTAGACCTTACTTTTCATTATAAACCACAAGTCAAGTCCTGTAGACCTTACTTTTTCAGGACTTGACTTGCGGTTTATAATGGTAGACCTTACTTTTTTCCGACTTTTTGCTTTACGTGTTTTCTCTTTCTAAGTTTATTCGAAAGCAATGTGGTCACATCTAGAATCAACATATAAAGAAGAAGAATTTTAAAAACTAAGTTATTTTCATTTAAAATTAAAAACTATCACTTGTATTTGCTCTAAGAATATCTCAAGTAACTTGGCCAATTTTGAAGATTCGTTTCTTTCTTATGTAATCAGCAGGCAGTATAACTGACACATTTCATTCAACGTAAAAATAAAAAAATCTAGAAATTCATAAACAATTCCAGACTATTTTGATAATTTTTTTTTCAATCTTGTAGATCAAAACATGAAAATAGTTTTGTAATATTTCACATCTGTTTTATTTTCAGATAAAGTAAGATATTTCCATAAGCCGTGCTGGCTATAACGATTAATATAATTCTTTCTTCGTGTGGACTTACGTAACATAGCTATATACACTATAATATAAAAAAATTTAAGATAGAGTGCCCTGTTAGACAAAGTGTCATGTTTCGCCTCTGGGCGCTCATTTTATTAGAAATTAAGTTCAACTACGGCATTAAATGTAGCGTGTACTTTGTTACTAACACTTGTCACCAACTGTTAGTATATTCTCTGTGAGTTAGACTGCCACGTGCTTTGTAAATCTGATTGAGAAAAGATTTGGGGGTTTTGTCTTTTTTTTCTTCTGTCACTCAAACAAAAGTACTTCAAGATGATTCAATTAAATTATCTTGAGTTTCTGACCAATCCATGGAGGTTCTAAATGATATTTGTCTGAAAATACTGATGGAAAT